AGAATAATGTCTTCCATGTCTCCAGTCTTAAAGTGCCTTCCTACGGTAACATAAAGTAACGGTAATATTTTTTCTCTTTTTTTTTTTTTTTACAAAATTGGATAATACATTCCTCAAGTCTATTTTAATTTTCCTGCAAACTGAACAGTGTCATGTTCTATCAGATTCTAGTACAAACATGTCTATCAAACTTATTTTATACAATATGTTTTTGGTTCTTATTAATCTTTAATCGTATCCATGTAACTTTGTAATACTGTCTACCAGGGATTTTTTTAACAAAGATTAAGCATCGAGTTATTTCTCTTCGATCAGTGCCTGGTTCTCTTCTATTCCATTCATGACTCTATCATCATATGACATATGGAAATAACGAAATATATTAAATTATGATGGTTATGCACTTCCTAATCTGTATAGATTTTGACTTTCTATCAATTTTAGTTTACTTCTGGGGCCTCGTTTGTCTCCCAGGCTTTCGGCATCACTAACGAATCCCAGAAGGACGAAGTAGTGGTATGATTCAGTTTTATTTGTTCTTTAGGCTCTACAGTACCTAGTTCTAATTTCAGATTTTATATAGCTGTTTCCTGTGGTTTTGAAGTTGACATTCAACGATAAATCAAAATGTGTAAATGTAGTGTTTGATGATATGAAATAAATGACTTTGTCAATTTGCTTTAAAAATCAGCTTTTTTTGTTTTTTGTTTTATCTTAATTCACAGATGCATACTCGTACATTGCACGTTTGTGAAATAATATCTAATACATATAAATTTATATTTCCCTAAAACAACAAAAAAAAAAAAAAAAAAAAACACATTGAACAAATATACAAGTGGAGTTTACGATGGTGAATAAGTATTCATTCAAATTAGGTTCAACAAAAATTTTAATGCAGTCTATACGGTGGTGTAGATGACACGCAAAGATGCAGTATTAAAAAAACAGTACGTTTATCTGTTTTTAGTGAAGCTACATAAAATACAAATGTTAATAATGCCTCTCAATACAATGTAGTTAAACAATGCATTAAACAGTATCACATAGCTTTTTCATTGTAGGTCAATGATGCTAAAGGCCCAAGAGTCGGGAAGTGACTGCGGAAATTTAAAACTGGCAGAAATACAAGTCAAAAATAGAAAAGGAGGTGCACTCGCCCAATAAATGTGACCATTTAAATTGATTAAAACATGGTATGCAAGATTATGTTATATTAAGAGAGATTTGGTATTTTAGTTCATTATTTACTTATATACTCACGTAAAGGATACACACAGCACACATCAAGGATGATGATTATTTGACATAATCCTCGAATGAAGACTGGTTATACTTAGAAATTCGGAAACTGATCCTTGTGATATGCTATGCGGATACAGGAGCAAAGGGCCTTTCCGGAGGTGAAATTTTCATTGTTTTATTTAACATTATTTAACATCATGTCAGTCGGTGCTTTTCACATACAAACAAAAAGTGTGTCACCAAGATAGGATATAGTAGGAAAGGAGATTTTGCTGTCCAGAGCGTCAGAATACGTAAAATAAAAACCAAAGTAAATGAGTCTACATGGTTAAATTGCTAGGGTTCCCTCTCACCTAATCTCCTTTATTGTCTGATATGTCACCATATATACGCACGCCACCTAGCGGATGACACGAGCCCATGTTCTTTTAAAGCTCATATGAAGATGATGACAGTGTGAACTGTTTTGGTAGCACCACACTAAAATGTCATAATCTGGACTTCATAGCATGACTTCCCTAAAAGTAAAAAAAAAAAACGTAAAAGAAGATATATATAGATGATAAAACTCTCGGAACAGGATTTTTGTACTCTTATTTGCTCGCTGTGAAACAACACATAACCTGGACTTCTATACTCTTGTCTGCTCTCTATCAAACAACACATAAACGAAGACTTCTGTAATTTTGTCTGCTCTTTATCAAACAACACAGAGCCTAGGCCATCTGTAATTTTGTCTGCTCTTTATCAAACAACACAGAGCCTAGGATTAATATACTCTTGTCTGCTCTTTATCAAACAACACAGAGCCTAGGACATCTATACTCTTGTCTGCTCTTTATCAAACAACACAGAGCCAAGGACATCTGTACTCTTGTCTGCTCTTTATCAAACAACACAGAGCCTAGAACATCTATACTCTTGTCTGCTCTTCATCAACCAACACATAAACGGAGACTTCTGTAATTTTGTCTGCTCTTTATCAAACAACACAGAGCCTAGGACTTCTATACTCTTGTCTGTTCTTTATCAAACAACACAGAGCCTAGGACATCTTTACTCTTGTCTGCTCTTTATCAAACAACACAGAGCCTAGGCCATCTGTAATTTTGTCTGCTCTTTATCAAACAACACAGAGCCTAGGATTAATATACTCTTGTCTGCTCTTTATCAAACAACACAGAGCCTAGGACATCTATACTCTTGTCTGCTCTTTATCAAACAACACAGAGCCTAGAACATCTATACTCTTGTCTGCTCTTCATCAACCAACACATAAACGGAGACTTCTGTAATTTTGTCTGCTCTTTATCAAACAACACAGAGCCTAGGACTTCTATACTCTTGTCTGTTCTTTATCAAACAACACAGAGCCTAGGACATCTTTACTCTTGTCTGGTCTTTATCAAACAACACAGAGCCTAGGACATCTTTACTCTTGTCTGGTCTTTATCAAACAACACAGAGCCTATGACATCTATACTCTTGTCTGCTCTTTATCAAACAACACAGAGCCTAGGACATCTATACTCTTGTCTGCTCTTTATCAAACAACACAGAGCCTAGGACTTCTATACTCTTGTCTGCTCTTTATCAAGCAACACAGAGCCTAGGATTAATATATACTTGTCTGCTCTTTATCAAACAACACAGGACCTAGGACTTCTATACTCTTTATATCTCTCAATTCTCCCCCACGTATATAACAAAATAGGGTCAGTATTCTCGGCCCCCTTCGGCTGTGAAGTTAAACAGAGTGAAACTAAGGGCATAAACTCTTAATCAGAATAGGGTCACATGAGGACGGGTGTCAAGATACAAGTTTGGAAATGAAGCACAGGCAGAAACAGCAGACAGAAAACACAGAAAAAGATGCAGACATGTAAGACAAAAAAATGCATAGCCCAAGTGTTGCTACAGTAACAGATCAGTTTTCGCTCCTCATTGTTTCCTTAGTAGAATACATGGAAGAAAACAATAACAAAGACAACTAATTGGTCGCCTTCCTGTGTTAATGCTATGTAATACAGCAGCCTCTCTTATGTTCCTTAATATGAAGACATTAGAAAAACATTCCCTGACCTTCAAGGGGTGGCCCACAATTAGTCGTTCCTAACGACTTGAAGTGAGATACAAAAGGGACGTTCTTTCCCGTCTCCTACATAGGTCCTTTACCCAAGCTTCATTTGAATAGTCATATAATGTTGACTTGATAGTTTTCGGACATGATGAAACTAACTTGACCTGCTCAATAACCTTTTTGAGAATAAATGCATTGCAAATTACTTACGTAATGATATGTTTTCAATAGGTACTTTGTCCGTGTGTCAGATTGGACTATTGGGGTTTTTTCCCTACTTCTCACAATAGGTACTTTGTCCGTGTGTCAGATTGGACTATTGGGTTTTTTCCCTACTTCTCACAATAGGTTCTGTTTTATATGTGTTTAAGTCTACCAGCCACTGACGGGATTATAAATTAATTTATGTCAATGTCTGAATATTGTCCACTGCAATATAAAGTTACGTGCCGTCGGTGATACCATAGAGTTTATGTCGGTTGCGATAAAAGAAAAGAGGACAAAGGATAGCACCTTCGAGTGCCCCGGGTTTATATAGGTTCCGAATTAGATTTTTTTGGTTTTCTGTTACTTATGTCTTCAATCCAAAGGTTAGCACATTCTAGATTTAGTAATTTCTGAAAGAGGACATTGATACAAGAACCGGTCGGACGCTTTCCTGCTACCAAAAAACTCGCGACTTTATCTTTGTCACAATTGATAACAATTAATCACTAGGTGATGCTATTTTGTGAAGGAAATTATACAGATAACTAAATACGCAATGTTCAAATTCTTGACCTAAGATACTTAAATTTCAACGTCATGTCGTATTTCATTCTTTGATATTACACTGTATGCATTGTCAAACTCGACTGGTTCATGACTAAACGAAAACATCACTTTATAGACACAGAGATTTGACTTTAATGTGTTCAAGTGGTGTCCCACATTTAGTACCTCACACACACACGACGTTCATTACATTCCCCGCACGACAATGAGATTTTGGTCATTGTATGTTTCCGAAATACTTTGGTTTGTTTCCGTGCACGGAATAAACGAGCGTTGATCGCTAGAAACCACGCCGGAAGTTGGCGTGTGGCATGGGTCACGGCGTTATCATTGGCCTGCGTCACAAAACCTAAATCAACGAATCGCGTGATGTCGAAGACGTAAAAAGAATCATTTATGAGTAATGTTAAAACCAATCACGGTATGATATATATAAATAATACAAAGTTGGAAATTTAAGTGTTATTTTTCATTGTTCATAGTCCTAAATATTGCCCACACTTACCGATAATTGATATCAATTGAACCCACTCAGTGATACACGTATGTTTGTATCGTACTGGAGTTATTGATTTTCAACAAGACGTTATTTAAAATTGCCACAATTGAACTCTTTATTTTTGTAAACAGGAAATTTCCATGTGTTTTTTTGTTTTTTTCCCCCCTTTTTTCTCTTCTGCTTATATCTATAGTATTTTACAATCTTCTCTGTTCGTATGGTATTGTGAAATTAAATTGCTGAAAGTTCTGTCTAGCCGCTGAAAATGTATGAACTATCATAGATTTAATAAGTATAAATCTGTTTGAATATGAAATTATAATGGAGGCAAAAGATTGATCTTTATCCACGTTTAATCAATCTTCAAGACGTTACAATAATTTACATATATCACAAGTTCATTTTATCACAGAAAAAGGTACAAGTAACAAACGGCTTAGAGACAATTATTTCGAGATAAGCGAGGTATTCGAGATAGCGACATTTCAATAAGTTAATAATATAATTAAGTGAATGGCAATTATTTACAACATCATATGTACAAATTCTTTTTTACAACGTTACATTACAATGTCACACTATACATGATGTAGCCAAGATCATAACCACCGGGTCTCGATTTTCCCCAGACATAAAACAATATGAGGTATCCGTTTCAATCAATTGGGTACTTTGGGTTCTCTTCACATAATTGCTTAATACGAAATATATGGTGAAATTGTTCGTAAAAGAAAAATTCTGGTTAAGTATATTTCTCATCAAAGAAATTTCGAGATGAAACAAAAGAATTATTCAAAATGTACACAAAAACATTATTTCTATCTATATCACTGGTGTGGACAGCATCAACGGTATTCTGATATTATTATAGCAAGAAAACTTTGAAAAAATATGTCTACAAAATATTTCTTATTACTTATTTCAAATTAAGAAATTTGTCCAACTTTTGTTATTGTAGCTACCTTATTGATAGTTAGTGTTCTTATTGGTATGATGTAAATATATTTAATATCAGTTTTTAATCCATGCGGCGCCATGGTTTCGTATCTTCAAAGTCAGTTTCATGTAAGTGTTAGTATTTACACAAAACTTTTCACGGAAGTGTTCTAACAGCAATACAAGTCCGTTGTTCTTTTTCCTGAGTTTCTCTGTGTTTTGGCTTTACTCGAAGACACATGAGGTAGTGGGTGTTCTTATCGAGACCCGATATCAGAAAGTTCCGTTTTGAGCTATGCAGTTCTTCGGCTCTGATTTCTGATACTTTACCCAAGAGCTGATACTCCAGACTAAATCCATTCTCAATTTCCTCATCTGCCGTCCATTCTAGACGTATCCCAGTGTCCGTCTCAATGATCTTTGTGAACCGGAACACGGATGACCCGTTTCCGGTGTGCGGCAAAGTCGGAAAAGGATCTAGAGTAGTTTGTTTGGTTGTATGTGGAGTCGAGACCGTGGAAATATTTTCACATATTTCTTCTTCATACGCAGGCTCGCAAACAAGTTCCGCTTCCGGTATTTCCCAAAGAGCCCTGCCCATGTAATTGCTAGGTGTGTTGCAGTAGCTTTCGATGATATATTTATTGAGGAAGTCATCTGCGATTCTATCGATAATCCACTGCCGTAAGAAGCGATGTCTGCAGTCGCAGTCAAGCGGATTATTTCCCAGATATAACGTATCCAATGACGTCAGCTGTTGCATCACACATCGTCCAATTGTCCGAAACTGATTACCTTGAAGATAAAGGATCTTCAAGGACTGCGACAACCCGTAAAATGTCCTTTCATTGAGTTGGCTGAATCGGTTTTGTTCTAGATTTAGTTCCTCGAGATGGGTATTGTGTACGAATTGGAAGTCTGGAATTTCGGTGAGTTTTGTGCCATCAAGCTGCAGTGTATGTATATTGTAGAGAGTCTGAACTGCTCCCCACAACTCTGGCTCAACAACTGGGGTACTTCTTAAGTACAACTTTCTTAGAGGTTCTCCTAAGCCACGTAAACCGTCAGCCGTGAGATTAAACTGTCGAGTATTTTCGCCACTTAAGTCCAATTCCGAGAGTCTGGGAGTGTGTTGAAACATCCCTGGCACCAAAGACGAGATCATATTTCCTGAAAGGTCTAGATAGGTCAAATTCTGCAATCCTTGAAAAGATCCTGGTTGCAGCGAAGTAATTCTGTTCGAATCCAAATTTAGGTATTCCAACGACCTCATATTGAAAAACAAACCGAGTGGAAGTCGTTTCAGATAGTTGTGTCCAATGTTCAGTTGGGTCAGCTTTTTCCAGGTCGGTGACGCCAAAGGACCAATATTTCCGGCATCTAACTGATTCAGATGTAGACCCAAGTATTCCAACGAGTTCTCGATCCCTTTAAAACAGTCAGGAACGAGGTCGTTAATAGCATTGTGAGACATATCCAACACTTTCAATTTCTTAAAAGACCTGAAAGCTCCGAATGGAATTCGTCTTAAATTGACATATACTATGCTTAACTCCTCTAGATTTGTCAAAGGCATCAAACCAGTATCAGGGAGGCTTCCGAGTGGCAAGTATTCCATTCGCAACTTCTTGAGCTTTTGGAGCCGGCCTTTGAAAGCGTCTTTCGTAATATATGATATATCCATGTTCTTGAGCACAAGTTCATGTAAGTTAGACAAACGACTGAAGTCTGCATTTTCACGGGTGATTGAAGTTTGTTGAAATCCATTCAGAGTTAATTTCTTCAGGTTTGTCAGAGTAGATAAAGCACGGTACGGGGGTGGATGGCGTCCATTTCCGTGTATGGAAATTTCTTCAATGTACATCAATAGTCCATTAAAAGCATGAGGGTCAACAGAATCCAAATTGACGTTGTCCACACGTAAAACTTTTATCTTTAATCCTTTAAATGCATCCTTGAGTATGCTCGTGAAGTTGTTGCAACGGTCACAGTTAACCTGGTTGGCTAGCGTGAGTTCGTAGAATAGTTCATCCGAAGGCATAAAGTGGGGTATTCTACTCAGGCCACGTGACCGACAGTTGATTATGCGACCTTTGCCCGGATGTCCTCTCTCACAACGGCAAAGTTCGCTCGGACATCTCTGCTGTGCCAAGATGGCGACAATTCCGGTCAACAAAACGAGGACAACAGGACAACACTTTGTCCGTGGCATTTCTTGTTTTATCTCCTGTCGTCAAAGAATCTGTTTTAAAAAAAATATCAATATCAATTACTTTCAATTTCCGTAACATATACTTTGTCTTTAAGTACTTCAGTGTCGCACTTTATGTGGTGTTTTATAGGTAAAACGACTAAAGTTGAAAAAAGGAGTTTCTAGATAACACATCGATATCGAAACTAGTACAAACTGAATAATATATATCTACTGTTTATTTTCTCTAGAAAAATGTACCTTAAAAATTAAAAAGTTTTTCGCGATTTCTGATTACTAAGTAATGTTTACGGTGATACATCTATGTGGAAATTAAAGTGTGTATTTTTATAAAGGTTTTTTTAATACGCAGAGAGTATCAATAGAAGATTTCTACAATATAAATAAAAAATATTCCAGTCAAGATGTTAGAAAGGTGACGAACACATACCAGACATTTTCTGAATACCATTAAAACATTCTCGGAGTGCGTATTATTATTCAATACCGTTACATACCCGGCGTATGTCTTAGGTATCTTGTAAGAAAATCAGGGATAGAGTGTGTAAGAGGCACTCCTACCAAAAGTCTTTATTGATCTTCAATAAATATGACAAGTTTCTGATCATAAATACTTATCTAAAATAGGTGATAGATATCATGAGTAATTATTCAAGAATTCAGTGATATTACATTTACAGAAATGTGAAAATGAACTTAAATTTTATATGAATTCCTTTATGTTTAATATTCGGCCAGGACAAAGAGGATATGTGTTTTTATAACGCACACTTTAAGATAAAGCCAAGCCGATAATAATTCACAGTGAAAATTAAGGAACGATCAGGAAAATGAAGTGATGTTATCTCTTTATGCCTTGGGTATCTTAATATTTTGTTAACATTTCAAAATAGAGATGAACATTTATGAAAAATCCACTGACGACACAGAAATGAAAACACTTTTCAATACAAATATAGGTATTTTAGAACTTGATGAACTAAAATTCCTCATGGCTGTCTCTTCTATGTAGGATTTGTCAGTGATATATATATATATATATACATGTGTATCGTTACAAAAGGCCTTAATTGCTGAAAATCGATTAAGATGATAAGGCCTTTAACCGCCCTCTGACAGAGGCAGTAATAAATAATTATGACGCAACAGTTAAAAACTTCAGGTGCAATTCACGTAAACCTTCCGTGTATATACCTAGTCAGTTTCTATATCTGGAATTGTTCATCACTACTCTTTTTACACATGACGATATTATATATATGCACTGATATTTATACATTATGTGAAAATTTCCTTATACTCGGAAAGAAACTATTTGTATCGATATTTTGTAAAGCTAGGGAAATGGCATGGTTTACTTAGCCAAACAAATACGTCATTGTTTTCATCAACAATAAACAAACAATGTGTTGTGATAGTATACAGATATCTGTCATTACTCACACAGACACGTGTAGTAAACTCGTGTTTTATACAGAGAATGAATTCTCTACTTCTCCGTGTTTTTGGTATCATCAAGATTCGTAAGAGTATATTTTAACAAAGAATGTGAACATACCAAAGACAAAGAAAGTAGAAAACATGGACAATTTAATAATGACAAAAAGTCATGGAGACAGCAGTAGTATTTCATGGCCACAAACATTTTTTTTTAAAAATCAAATTAAATGCCAGGAACAATTCGATATTTCCATGAGAAATAGATGCTGAATGCACCTTGAATTTTTGTTCTGAGTTCAACACATTCTCTAAAATATTGACAGTTACCGTCTTTTTTTTCAATATTCTTTTTCAAAATAGAATATATTTGTACTATCGCGCAGAATCCTCTTTCTTCATGGAGTATTTCTTTCAGGGAAATTTTTCTATATTTTTAAAAGAACAAATGAAAATCAGCCGTATTCAGTTTCAATAAAAGTGTTCGTTTCACATGGAATGTCCGATAGAAATTGAGTATTGATATCTGTATAAGACTAGCGATTTCCATCACTATCTGACAAGCTACTTGTTCGTCAGTTTAAACGATATCTTGTTAACAAATGTCAGTTACAGTACACATAGAGGTTATCATTGGTGTAGTCGGACATTCAACTCTGATTTTAAAATCTTCAGACGGAGATGTTTATAGTCTAAAGAAATTTAGAATTAATTAAATTTAAAGCAACTGACTTGCCTAGGATGGAAATGGCGACTAGAGAAAAAAAATCTTTATCACCAAATAAAACATAACAAATACTTACCTGTGTGTTATCTCTATAAACAATCCACGATGTTATGAATGGCGCAATGTGCTAGACATTTAATTTATCTCTGCGTAATTTCGCAGGTCTCCGCGACCTCTAAATAGTGAGAATTTTAATGATTCATCAAACTTGCGCATGCCCAGATTCACCAAAGTAACCAAGGCAAGTGTGTAGCTTACTTCCGGATGTAAAATACCATTTGACACTTATATGACTTCAGTATTAGCTGATAGTAATTGTAATGTTATAAACTGGCACACTATTTGTTTATTAGTTTTATCATATCTATTTGGGGAAACTGACAATACCGTATAGTAAAATGATTTTTGATTATGAATTACACATTACAAATAAACATCACATGATTAAGATGTACATTTTTCTTTTTTTTTCTGGAAAATTGTTAAAACCAGGGAAGTGTTGTGGAAAAAATCTCCAGAATTATTGTGATTTAGCATAGTGCAATCGTTGAAGTTGTAATGAAATTTTTTATAAAAATTATCGTACATTGTACTTTGGTGGATAGCTTGTGAAAATTATGCTATGTAGGGCCATACGCCAATCAGAATATAAAGAGAGCAAATCAGAGAATAGGTATTCGTGTGTGACTCAAGTATTTAAATAACAGCACTAAATCGTGACACTGGTAACACTAGGATTGTAAGTACGGTTCATCAAGTATAGCAGGTTTTTTTTTCTTAAAATCGTGCACGTAATATATATACTCAATATACTATTTTACTTACAAGAGTATTACGCCAGCCTGGTATACGTATACCAGTCTCCTTAAGTACATACATACGTGTTCAGTTAGATCATAATGATTAACTATTTTACTGTATATAGAATGTTTTTATTTCTTATTAGATATATACATTCAAAAGAGTAAATAACTTCGACAAATTCATCAGTGAAGATAGTTCATTTTCCAGGTACATGTACTTCTGCGTAATTTTAATTGCTTCCAGAATGAAATTCTTCATGGATTTTTTTCACAAATAGATAGGAAGGTTTCCACTTACATTTGACGTTATAAAAACGAAAGGTGGATTTTATTAAACTAGTGTCTCACGTGAACTTCCACGAGTGCTGCCAAGTTGCTGCGTCATTAAGAGAAAGGTCAAAGAGTGACCAAAAATGGTTTGTCGTGGTTTCCATTTCTTTGAAATTATTGATTCAACTTAATGAATGATATCATAAATCAAATCACAAAAGATTCACAGTAATTCATCAAATATTTAGGTGATGCAATGTACGATCTTGAGGCTTGGAAACCGGAAACAGGATGTGTGAAAAGGAGGATAGCATTCGAAGAACATTCGGAACATTATCGGGTAAAGATTTCCGGCCACGTGCAGAGCAAACTTCCCTTGTCTCCGGATGACCTATGACCTATGATCTATTTTGAATTTGGAATTGTGTATTAACATACACGCAATATATATATAAGCGTTTGCTTGTTAAATCTATCATAAAAAGCTTAAATAAAGTTTCATTTCCTTAGATTCTATGGCAAACGGCATATAAATAACACTTTTTTCTTGCAGAATCAGTCTTATAGATTCTCAGATGAAATTGGAAATTTGCCTTAAGAATCGTTTATGGTGAAATCGGGAGATTTGCTTACAGAATCTATTATGAGGATTTCTTGAGAAAATCGGGAGATCTGCTCACAGAATTTACGATAAGATTTCTAGATAAAATCGGGAGATCTGCTTACAGAATTTATGGTGAACATTTCTAGATAAAATCGGGAGATCTGCTTACAGAATCCATGATGAAGATTTACAGATAAAACAGGGAGATCTGATTACGGAAGCTATGGTAAAGATTCCCAGAAATAATCGGGAGATCTGCTTTCAGAATCTATGTTGAACATTTCTAGATAAAATCGGGAGATCTGCTCACAGAATTTATGATAAGATTTCTAGATAAAATCGGGAGATCTGCTTACAGAATTTATGATAAGATTTCTAGATAAAATCGGGAGATCTGCTCACAGAATTTATGATAAGATTTCTAGATAAAATCGGGAGATCTGCTTACAGAATTTATGATAAGATTTCTAGATAAAATCGGGAGATCTGCTCACAGAATTTATGATAAGATTTCTAGATAAAATCGGGAGATCTGCTCACAGAATTTATGATAAGATTTCTAGATAAAACCGGGAGATCTGCTTACAGAATCTATGATGAAGAATTACAGATAAAACAGGGAGGTCTGATTACGGAAGCTATGGTGAAGATTCCCAGAAATAATCGGGAGATCTGCTTTCAAAATTTATGGTGAGTATAACTAAATAAAATCAGGAGATCTGCTTACAGAATCCATGATGAAGATTTACAGATAAAACAGGGAGATCTGATTACGGAAGCTATGGTGAAGATTCCCAGAAATAATCGGGAGATCTGCTTTCAGAATCTATGTTGAACATTTCTAGATAAAACCGGGAGATCTGCTCACAGAATTTATGATAAGATTTCTAGATAAAATCGGGAGATCTGCTCACAGAATTTATGATAAGATTTCTAGATAAAATCGGGAGATCTGCTTACAGAATTTATGGTGAACATTTCTAGATAAAATCGGGAGATCTGCTTACAGAATCTATGATGAAGAATTACAGATAAAACAGGGAGGTCTGATTACGGAAGCTATGGTGAAGATTCCCAGAAATAATCGGGAGATCTGCTTTCAAAATTTATGGTGAGTATAACTAAATAAAATCAGGAGATCTGCTTACAGAATCTATGATGAAGATTCCCAGGTAAAATCGGGAGAGCTGTTTTCAGAATCTTAAGATTAGTCAAGAATCTGAAATGATAAAAAGATCTGCTATTTGGTGTATTTTGTTTGGTGTGTCGCCGCTTGAACAGCCTGGATCATTTAGAACAGCTGTAACAGCTGGTGGTTACCTTACTGAACAACATACGGGAAGCACGTCGCGTGACATTTAAAGCAATTGGGGTAAATTGCCATGCCTACAAAAACACCCATGTCAGCACAGTTTCTCAGCTTCCGAGAAATACAAAACGCCACAGGTAGGGAGCTTCGAACCACAAACCTTCTAACCAACAGCGCTATCAGTTCCAGAATATTTGGTATAAGATGAAAAGAATATTTCCAGTGGTGTGAAAAATATTCTTTAAGTTAGTATGATAATTTCAGGTGACATAGGACCGGAACAAAGTCCCAATATTTTGCCAGTTAGATAAGGCTCTCTAATTTTGGTCTTATTTGTTAATCAAATCTTCACCAAATCAAAAGTTGACAAGCATTTTACACTATGTAGCGACATACAGTTCTCTCTCTTTATATATATCCCTGAAAGAGTAAGTGAGCGGAAGCGAAATTATGCCGGAATGACAGTCAAGACCAACACTGAAGTCCCTGGTGGACATGGATACTACGAGACTACGGGTGGTGACCACAGACAACAGTGTAAATGTAAGGATTCGCCGGAAGTGGTTCTAACACCACTTCCGGTTAAGTTATATGATGTGACCATGTTAATGAATAATAGTATTTCTTTCTATCATCCTGTTTGATTTAAATAAAGAAAAACAGGTCTTTTATTGAAAATTGCAGCCATTAAACGTTTGAGACAGACATATTCCCGCCAACACGATGCTTGTGTATTACTTCGAGACATCTCCTCGATACATACTATCCGAGCTCTCAATACAACAGACAATTGTACCTTGTTGACATACTGAAAACTCAAGTCAATAGGTTCAGTGTGTGGCCAGAAGTTAGAGTGTTTAAAACGGAAGTGGTTATATGTCTCGAGCAGAATATGTAAACAAGTACTGTCCAGAATCCACGTGCAACCACATATTTTGTTAATGAAGTGAAGTACGCAGGCTTAACGTGGGTGTGTAAATGACGGACATAAAGTGAAAATGATATTGTATATAATTATAACTTTTCTTGCCAAAAAAAAAAAAAAAAACGCTCTGGATCAAACCGTTAAACAATGAACACCCAAGGGTTTTTTATCAGTAATCATTCAATGTTGCCCAGCATGGATAAGAAGTACTTGATTTCGGTCAAAGTAGACGTCTTACGTGTTAAATAACAGTCACAGATGCGATCTCTATCAGAGCTGAAGTTCCTTACCACGTACCATAATGCACCTTGCGATAATTATTTTAGAAGTGTTTGATTCCCAGCTGATGATGTTTTCCCTTCCGACCAATAATGTTTGCTCCCTAAAGCTGTAGATGTAGATTTACCCCCATTCATCTTTCTCGTTTACACTCGTGTTTGGTCTGCAATCTCTGATGAATGATAAGTACCAGTTTTGCTTTTCGTGTATTGAACAATGGAAAAAACGAAAAAGTAGAAATGGCACCAACCAACCACTGAACAGCTGAACACTGTCATTATTGTAAGTTGGTCATCATTCCACGTATGTATTATCACGCCTTCCTGATGGTTATATGTGTTTATAACAGATAGACTGATAGATTATCACATTAAGAATACAAACCTTGGACTTCGTCCTTCTTACTTTCCATTATCGTGAAATGAATATAAAGTTACGGTATTGATTCTATCATTGTTATGATTTATTGATTAAAACAAACATTTCAATGTATGCTGTTGATGGTTACCCTGGTATCACGATGGTAATACCTTAGTATCACGATAGTAACCTCAGTATCACGATGGTAACACCGGTATTACGATGGTTACCCCGGTATTACGATGGTAACCCAAGTATCACGATGATTACCATGGTATCACGATGTTAATACCTTAGTATAACGATAGTAACCCCAGCATGGTAACTCCGGTTTCACGATAGTATGATGGTAGCCCCAGTACCATGATAGTAACCTCAGCGCCACGATAGTAACATCAGTGCCACGATGGTAACCTCAGTGCCACGATGGTAACCTCAGTGCCACGATGGTAACCCCAGTGCCACGATGGTAACCTCAGTGCCACGATGGTAACCTTTGTGCAAACCTCAGTGCCACGATAATAACCCCTGTATCACGATGGTAACCTCAGTGCCACGATGGTAACCATGCGATGGTTATTCCAGCAGTAAAGAATGTACTACAACAGATCTA